GATCCATCCTTCCCTACCTTCCTATTCTCAAAGGATAAGCACTATTCTCACCCAAGATGTTTTCAGACTTCACCCAGGCTGATACGCGCTGGAAGACTCACAGCCAGAGATTCAAGGACAAGGGTCTGATAAGATACTTTTATTACAGATAAAGAAAAGCTCTTAATACTGAAGAAAACAAGCTACTGAACAAGTCATCTCTCTGTCTCTCAATCCCCAGGTTCAGATCCTATATCTGAGTGGCTCTCAGTCTGCTAGTTTCTTGCTGGGAAAAGTAGTTGGCCCTTGTGTGTTGTTACTGCAGCGGGAAAGACTAGCTTCTGACTCAGCCAGCTCTTGCAATTGCATTGGGGCATCCCAGTTGGGTCTGGATATTCTTGTAAGCCTGCCAGTCATCAAGACCTATGAGTTTGTTGTTTTCTTATGTTGGAATAGCAACTCCCAGAATTTTCAGAAGGTGCTTGAGGGTGGCAGGGAATTCGGGGAAGCTGTAGACCAGGGTTTCCCAACCTCAGCAACTTTAAGACGTGTGGACTTCAACTCCCAGAATTCCCTAGCCAGGAGGAATTAAAGTTGCTGAGGTTGAGAAACCCTGCTATAGACAGAATGCAGCCAGGAGGTACTGTATTGGAGAAGGCTGTCTAGCCACTCTTGATCACACAATGATGGAGTTGGAAGGGACTGCATGGGTCATCTAGTCCAGCCTTCTGCAACGTGCAGGAAAACCAATTAAACCATCCTTGAGAGGCAACTGTCCAGCCTTTTCTAAAACGCCCACGATGGACAACTCTGTGCTGACTTTCAATGATAGCTTAGCATTGGTTGTAATACTCTCTATCCTTCCTTCCAGCCACTGAGCATCAATGGAGACAAGGAATACCTTGACGACCTGGATGGACCTATGCCTTATTCCTTACGCCCGGTCATTGCTGTTGCCCTGTGCCCAGCGGATGAGAACAAGGAAGCAGGCCTTCTGCCGGTCAAGGTGGATTTAGACAAGACTGCCCTCTAAGAGCCTGCCCCTGCCCCACCCCTGCCCCCCGCCCTCTTAATGCCCCATCAACCTCTCCCCTCCTCTTGAGTTCCTTTGAACAACCACACAACAGTCTTTCCGGGATTCTTCCCAGCCCCTCCCATAGCACGTTTTGTCACTGCTCTTTCATCCAGGAAGGTATTGAGGAGCCCAGCGCTTTCCTGCAAGGCTGTGCTGGAACCCCCAGGTTTTTTCTTTTCACCAGCAACAACACTTTGGTTGCTGAGGAACAGTGGGATAGCGAGACCCTTGCTTTCAAATGCCGCCACTGCTTTTGTGAATTTCGAAATGAATGAGCCATGGTTGTCCCTAGCATAAGATCCTGAAGTTGGCCAAGGGGACCTTGGGGAATTTCTTCCCTTGACTGAACAAGGCTGGGTGATTCTCTGTCCCTCTGCCTCACTGCCAACAGGGAGCTGCTGCTTATCCTGGTCTTCTTTTGTCTTAAAAAATTGGTAACAAGTGGCACAATGGCTGCTTTTTATTTGAGCCCTGTCAGGAATACTACGGGATGCTTCCAGACCAGTGTTTCTTGGCAACTTTAAGACCTGTGGACTTCAACTCCCAGAATTCCCCAGCCAGAAAGGAATAGCTGGGGAGTTCTGGGAGTCAGAGTCCACAGGTCTTAAAGCTGCCAAGGTTGAAAAACAGTGTTCCAGGGAGAAAAGTCAAGGGTTGCCGATCAAGATAACTCCGCTGTTATTCTATGGCCTTGTTTGCCTGACAAACTAGGACATGGTTCACTTAACCATGATTTACTGAGTAAGCCACAGTTGCCTAGGTTGACACACTGCATGAAGCCATGGTTTGCACATTTGAACGGCTGAGTTTATTTAATATTTATTTAATAAATTTATATGGCCGCCCATCTCATTGAACATGACTCTGGGCGGCGTACAACCAACACTTAAAATATTGTAGCTGTTAAAAAAACGTAAAAATATAAATAAAAGCAGGATTGCAGAAGAAAACATCCATCTAAACACAATATTGGGCAGGCTGCCCATGGGATCCCCAAGGTTGCTGGAAAAGCCACATTTTCAGGGCCTTCCAAAAGACTAACAGGGATGGGGCCAAGCTCACCTCAATCGGCATGATGTTCCAGAGGGCAGGAGCCACAGCAGAAAAGGCACGCCTTTTCTGTTCATCCCATATGCTAAGCCACAGTCAAACAAACCATCTTACGTCTTAGCATGTGGTGTGATCCAGCCTGTATTCCCTCCTTTCTGTTCTGCCCCCTACAAAACAAGAGTATGTTACAGACAGGATACAAAGGGGAGACAGTATCCTCTAGATGACTGAGTGACACCTAGAATGTCAATATCCTGGTTTGGCTTCTGGCCACGTGGAATCTAGCCAGTTCAACAGCAGTCTGCTTCCTCTGTCAAGGTGAGAACTTCCCAGTCCCCCGTAGAGCATCTTATCTGCCTTCAGGATTCAGTCCTTGTAAAAATACTTAACCATGTTTGTTGAGCAAGGTACACTTGGCTGGGCTTACACAAGTTGCTCAGCTTTAAAGAGTGGTTTATAAAGTGTGATGTGTGAATCCAGACTTGGCCCTGCCTGACACCAGAGAGTTTGGAATAGCCACTGGGGGAGCTAGATCAGCGCCTGGCAGCTTCATACTTGTCGGGGGGCGGGGGGGGGGGGAGCACCAGCAACTGATCTCATTCTTTGCAAGAAGGAGAGGTTAGTTTCCATTATTAGTATCTGCAGGTAAAATGATCTCGGGTCGCCAGGCTGGAAAGATCTGTGCAGCACTCCTGCTCATTGATGCAGAAGGCCTCATGGTCAGACCCAGGACTGGGCTGTTTTATATGTGCAGAGGGAGGAAGAGCAGCAAAAGGACCTGGGTCTTTCCATCTAAATTTCAGGGAAACCCCTGGATGGGTATTTGCTAAATTCCTCAAGAAAGCCACGTTTGGACACCTTGCTAAGGCCAAACAGTCAGGAGCAAGAGAAGCAATTTGAAATGTCTTTTTTTCCCAATTGCTTCCACTACCTGCCACCCCGAAATCTACAGAACCACACAAATGAGGGGGGAACACAGGCATCCAGAAACGCATAAGTTCATGAAAATGGTGCAGTGGAGGAATCTTTCTTCCTCCCAAGACAGAGAAAGGGAATCTGATGCTTTGGTGCTTTTTTTTTTCTCTCTCTCTTTTCATCTTATGCTTGCTTGAGAGGAGGGCGTCTTTCTGTTGTTTCCAACCCAACAGAACACGGAAAGATATTAAAAGGATCAGGGCTTTGTCTGGCCGACAGCAAAAACAGAACAGAAGGGGACCAAATTTGGTATAGGGGGAGAAGCCAGCAGAAGAAGGATTGAGCTTGAAGATGGGCAGGATCTGGTTGGGGGCTGTGGGAAAAAAAGACCACCACCCCCATTTCACCCAACGGAGAGACAGTGGGGCATCGGCTCAGGATGCTGCCGCGTCCTCCATTCTAAACCCCTTGATCACGTGACCCAGAACGGACCTTATGCAGCCTCTCCCGTGTTTCCCAGTGCGCTCAGACACAAATAGTGCAACACGAACAGAGAGCAGAAACACACAACACATTGCTTCAGCACACAGAAGAACTAAGCCCCTACGGCTACTGCTTGGAAAGAATTCCAGAAGCCGTTCTCTGCCGGCTCTCCCTGTTTTCTTTTTCTCCTGCGACAGGAGGCCTCTTCCTTTGCTTCTGCGGTTTTGGGGCCTGGGGCCGAGTCGGGTCACAAGCTAGTCTAGGAGTGTGCTGGCCCCCGGTAAGCTGCAGCAAGGGCCTGGTCTTTGGGGCTGGGCATTTCTTTCTTGGGTACCACAGTGCCAATGTTCCTGCCCCCCCCCCCAGGTTAGATAAGGAACTATTAGCTGCATTCACACAACATGCTCCGCTTGGTTAGGATTAGCCTCGGTTCAGTTCTCCGTGGTTTAGTTTTTTGGTTTCCTCCTGCAAATCCAGAACAATGGGTTACCTCAGTAATCACGTGAAGCGTGTTACAAGGAGCAGCCTGTGTGCAGTGTGTCTAAACCAGTGTTGTCCAAACTTGGCCACTTTAAGATGAGTGGACTTCAACTCCCA